ACAGAGTCTCACTTTATCGCCCTTGGTAGAGTGCTGTAGCGTCACAGCTCGCAGCAACCTCCCAACTCCTGGGCTTAGGCGATTCTCTGCCACAACACCTGGCTATTTTTTTATTGCAGTTTGGCCGGGGCAGGGTTTGAACCCACCACCCTTGGTATATGGGGCTGGTGCCCTACTCACTGAGCGTCAGGAGCTGCCCATGTGTCATTATTTTTTTAATTGATCAGCCCAGTTCCTGTTTCTGAATAAGTAACATGTTCTCAGGTGAGGACTCTTACTACTTGGCTGCCTGTTTTGCACATTTATATGAAGGTGAAAATAGTTTTTAAAATGATTAAAGCAGTTCATAAATTCTACTCTAAGCTCATTTTACTCTGAAAAGTTGTTTCTATCCACTTTATAACTCTGTGTACTTTTAAAGTCAATGAGATCAAATATAAAAGAACACAACAGCACTGCATCCAAAATAGTTGTTCTAAAGCCATAAACTGGAACTCTGACCAAAATGTGAAGTCTTTCCCTCATTGATTTTCTTTCAAATCCAATGTGTTCAAAGATCAAGTTCCTACTTCATAATTTTTCTGGAGTCTCTAGACTCATGTTGGCCAGTATGATAACTATGAGACACGTGTGGCTAAATTAATTAAAATTAAGTAAGGTTAAAAACACGGTTTCTCAGCCATACTAGTCACGTGTCAGTCCTCGGCACCTGTGGCGGTGGCTTGGTGTGAGGCAGCACAGACCCTGTGTTCACTCTACAGAGAGCCCTGCTGGGGAGCGCGGCCCTGCACTCCTTGTTTGGTTTTGTTTTTCCAAATCACATTTTCAGACATTTTTATATCTTTTTAGATGTTAAATGACTGCTCTGCAGAGTTACTTGTTCCATGGTCATACCTACTTAATCTCAGGACCAAGCATTTTAGTGTAATTGCAGAGATGCTTTCACCTGAATCAAGAGTAAACCAGATAGAGGTACATCAGAAGAAAAAAAAAAAGCCCAGCCAGTTCCAAAGATCCTTGTCCCAATTTCTGCTTATATTGCAGACTCCAGAGAAGTAG